TATTTATTTATTAAAAAAAAAATTGTGATTTCACTTAAAAAAAAAAAAAAAATACGTTACGTTTTATTTACATAACTCTATTTTACATTCGTCGAAAAAAAATAAAATTTTATAATATTTTTACCCGCGAAAATAATAAATTTTAAAAAAAATATATAGAAAGTATTTCCTATTATCAAAATTTTCGCTTTGGCAAATATTTTATTATTATTATTATTGTTATGTAAATAATAAATTGTTTTATGTTTTTTTGTTATTCCAAAAAAGAATATTACTTAAAATGGGGGAAAAAAAATTTGAAAATTTTGTCTTGGAAAAAAAAAGAAAGTTGAATTTAAACAATATTAACGTTAATTGAAATTTTTTTTAAAAAAATGGATGAACACGTATTTGTACGTAAAAAAATTTAAAATTTTTAGTTTTTTTTTTTTTTTCAAAAAGAAAACTTTCGATTAAATGACAATTTCCTTCGCCCCCCTCCCTCGTCTCCTCCTCCCCCCACCAAAAAAATAATGAAAATTTACTTTCGGTAAACACGTAATTTTCCCTAATCATATAAAAAGAAAGTTTTGTTTGTTATTCTATTAAAAAAAAAAAAATTGGTCAATAGTTTTAAAATTTTTTTTTTTTACTTTATTAAATTTCACTTTCTTATTATCTAATCGATAATAGTAATGATAATGATAATATAATGTGTCAAAATTTAATATTATTATAATTATTATTGTTATCATCATCGTCATCGCCATCATTACATTTAATTTTCATGTGATAAAAAAAAAAATTTTTTTTTTTTTTTTGTTTTTGATTTTTCAAATGTGAAAGTTTTTAAATATTAAATGACGGATTAAAAATGTTTTAATGATTTCTTTAAATAATAATAATAATAATAATATAGGTATAAAAGTATATAAATATTTTTTCCAATTTTCTTCGAAGAAAAAAAAAAAAAAAGTCAAAAGTTTTTAAAGAAAAAATTGTTTTCGAAGAAACTTCTTATTAACCTTTTGTGTAAAGTAGTAAAGTTAGTTTTCATTAATAAAATAAAAGAAAGTTGAATTTTATTTATTTATTTATTTTATCTGGGTTATTTTACAAGAGAGAGAGAGAGGGGGAGAGAGGGGAAAAGAAATCAAATAAGCTAAACATAAATCGTAAATAAAAAAAGCTTTTGTGATTTTTGACTGGAAAAACTGGATAGACTGTTTCCCACTTTTTTTTTTTTCTATATAAAATATTTTTTTTGTTTATAATAAAAACTTGCAAAAAAAATTTTAATTTATACTTCTTTTTTTTATCATTATTTTTAATAATAATAATAATAAAGTGAAAGTTTTTAAACTAAATAATTTTTACTAAAAAAAAAATCTTTTTTTTTTGTGTAAAACAAACAAACGCAAAAAAAAAAAAAATTCGATAAATGGATTTTTATGTAATTTAATAAATTATTATAAATTTTGTCATGTACATAATTGAGAAACGAATAAATAAATAAAAAATTTAGGTTGATTAATTATACTGGAAGACTCCC